TAAAAAATAGAAAAGTAACATGTCAGTGAATGTAAAAGGTTGTTAGTTGCAAGATAAGGGCGCGAGTGTGAGTATTGATCGAGCGAGTGTGGTGGAGCCCGGTCCGTATGCCATGGTGGAGGCGTGAGTGATTTTCAACGCCCGTACGCCCACACAACGCCCACGCCGCCATGGAGGTGGTTGGGGAGTACGAATACAGCACCAAGGACCTCATAGGTCACGGTGCTTTCGCCGTGGTGTTCAAAGGGCGGCACAAACAGGTAAGGAAAGCCGAGGTTGCTCGAGTCAGTAGGGTTTGGTGCATGGGGAGTCTGCGCAACAGGGATGGCGACTACTGCTGTGTTGGTAGTCGTTCATGAGGGCTTCTTGGGGCTGTTAGGCGGGGGGTTGGGTGATTTTTATGTCGCTACGACTGCCATTGGCATGTCACAAAACACTGGGGTTGAGGAAAGTCATTTATTTTGACAAACATCGGAATTTCGTTCTCGCGACCCAGCGAAGAGCAAAGCGGCCTGGCTCCGTGCCATGATATCCTGCATGGCGCAACTAATTGCCCTTATGAATTACTTTTTGCATGATAGATGGGATGTCAGGATGGGAGAAGAGAAAGACGCAGGGTTCCCACTGACATCTGAAAAGGGTTATTGACTCCCGCATCCCTCGCAGGTTGGGTGTAAGCACAGCCCATATAAACTCACCGGAAATCACAGCTCGCGAGACCAGACGCACGTTAAGTAAGGCCTTCCTCATCCTCTTGGCGGAGGTTTGTTTTTTATGTAGCTTCTCGAAGACATTAGAGGATGATTGTCGTTGATTGGCGTGAGGGAGACACGTCCTGCTCATGTCACTGAACACGGGAAGGAGTGTTTACATCGGGGAAACAGCTGATTGGGTTGTCAAGTGTTCGGGGTGAACGACACCACTAAGTCTGGTATTTACGTAATTCCGCTTTCATGTAAGCTTTTGCTCGAATGCATCGAATAATTTCAGGTTTAACATTTGGAGAAAGAGATTAAAAACAACAACAAAAAACAACGTCCAGTGGCTTTGGTAAAAACGCTAGCGTGCATCCGCCAGGGAAATGGATAGCAGACATGTTTTTAACGTAACTCTCAGGATGTTGACTCGTGTGTGTGCATGAGGTTGGGGGAGGGGTGTAAGAGATGGGGTGGGTGTACAGAGAAGTGGTGGGCCATCATCCCGGTGCTGGGGTGATCGCTCGAAGAGGTGGGTGGTTGGGTGGGAGGGTAGGTGGGAGTGGGTGGAGGGAGATGATCGTGACGTCATATTTACGTCACGGCCCAGCCTCGAACTCCGCCGTGGCACATGTCTTCTGCTAAACTTTCGAGTATATGCGATGCTTTAACACACCTTTTGAACTTGTTATTTTCACAAAGTTAAGTCTGCATATGCGCTCGGTAAAGGAAGATGTCGGGAAGATAGAAGAGCATCTCCCGTTCGCAACAGATTCGTGACGGGCGAGGCACAAACCTCATCCCCATTCCGGGCCGGCCTGTAATGCCTGCCTGGCCTTTATGCTCCGGAAACTGAACATTACACCGTATAACGGGCTCGTAAAATAGATTTCAGGGGAGGTTTGCTTGAGTTTGGGGTATTTAGAAGCATCCGGAATCATCCTTTCCGGATCTCTCTGACGTGAAGAAGTCAGCCATATTAGGGGTCTTCTTGTTAATTTTTTTAGTTTTTTTTCTTTCTGTATTTATTTATTTATTTTTAATTTGTCTTCGTGATGGAACTGCGTCAGATTTATTACTGCACGCGGAAAATTGTGCAGCCATTTTTACTTTTATGTATTATGGGAATGGCAAATGGATGACAATACAGTGTGCGTTTGCTGGGCTAGAAAGTTTGATTTCTCTGTGCTTGGTAATTTTCTGGAGAGTGTGTACGGTCTGTGAACACAATGCCATTCGCTCAAGTCAAATAGGCACATATATTCTCTGTCTCTGTCTCTGCTTCTCTTCTCTCTCTCTCTCTCTCTCTCTCTCTCTCTCTCTCTCTCTCTCTCTCTCTCTCTCTCTCTCTTCTCTCTTCTCTCTCTCTCTGTCTGTCTCTCTCTCTCTGCTCCTGCTCCCTCCCTCCCTCCCTCCCTGCATTCTCATTCATCTCTCTCTCTCTCTCCTTGTCTCTCTCTCTCTCTCTCATTCTCTCTCTCTCTCTCCTCTCTCTCTCTGTCTCTCTGCCTTCTGCCTCCTCCCTCCCTCCCTCTCCCTCCCTCCCTTCCTCCCTCCTCTCCATCTCCTCCCTCTCCTCTTCTCTTCTCCACTCATCTCTCTCTCTCTCTCTCTCTCTCTCTCTCTCTCTCTTCTCTCTCTTCTCTCTCTCTCTCTCTCTCTCTCTCTCTCTCTCTCTCTCTCTCTCCATCTCTCATCTCCATCTCTCCATCTCTCCTCTCTCCATCTAACAAGCTCTCAGTCTCTGTCTTCCGACTTGAGCTTTTTATGAAATGATGAATTGCATGTAAGCCTGTATCATTCAGCCGGCCTTCGATAATGCATTTTCATCTGTAATCATATTGCACAATGGTCTGTATATATATTTCCATTTGGAAGAATAAAATAACTGAAAAATGGATGTTGTTTCATGTTGTATCCCCAGGCTACAGATTTTGTAGCAGTTGGCTGGGGGGGATGGTGGTGGGGGGGGGGGGAGGCAGCATCTGGCTTGTTTACAATGGGATTCTGGACTTTTCCGAGGCTGCTTGGATGGAATTTCCTTGCTGCTGCTCGTTATCTCTCTGTCTGTTGTCTTTTCTCTCTCTCTCTCTCTTCGTCTCGTCTCTCTCGTTCTCTCTCTCATCTCTCTCTCTCTCTCTCTCTCTCTCTCTCTCTCTCTCTCTCTCTCTCTCTCTCTCTCTCCTTCTCTCTCTCTCTCTCTCTCTCTCTCTCTTCTCTCTCTCTCTCTCTTCTCTCTCTCTCTCTCTCTTCTCTCTCTCTCTCCTCTCTCTCTCTCCTTCTCTCTCTCTCTCTCTCTCTCTCTCTCTCTCTCTCTCTCTCTCTCTCTCTCTCTCTCTCTCTCTCTCTCTCTCTCTCTCCTCTCTCTCTCATTCTCTCTCTCTCTTCTCCTCACTCACGACACACACACCCACACACTCACAACACACCACCACACACTCACACACACAACACACACACACACACACACACACACACACACATACACATAACACCGTCACTACACTAGGTACACACGTGAATTTAGCCGCGTTTCGCCGTCGCACCTGTTGTTTGCTGATCTATCTATATATTTCTGTCAGTGTCTATATATCTATATATATTTAAATATCTGTATTATAACATACGCTTATACATACATACATACATTCATGAATAAACTGCACACATACACACATGTGGACATACTTCTACACATTACATATATACTTAATATAATATTTTTACACCGTTGTGTTTGTATATATATATTATATAGTATATATATATATTATATATATATATATATAATTATATATTATATATATATTATACAAGAAGCGATAGATGACGGAGAGGGGAAGATTCAGAGAAGGAAAGAAAGAAGGAAGGAAGAAAATAAACAAAGAAAGAGAAGAGACTAAGAGTGAGATAGACGACCGCGGTGGTTAGCACAGGTAGCTAACGATGTGGATGGTTTCGGGTGGGATGGGGCGATGGGGGGGGGGAGGGGGTCACCGTACAGTTAACCTCCCCCCGCCCTTTCAGTCTAAGTTCAGGCCTAGCTAATGCCCCTCGACATTTTCATATTTTTGGGTATGTTTTTTATTATAGTTTACTGCGTTTGTGTTGATGTGGTTGAATGAAGGATTTTCGAAGGTAAGGTTTGAGTGCTTGTTGCGTTTTTGAAAAAAATACGAGACTACGATAAATTCATAGAGATACATTACATATATACATACATATATAAGCATACACACACAATGAATACCACACACACACATACATACATACATATATTTATATATATATTATTGTAATTTTTTGTATATATATGTAGTATACATACATATTCATATATATATAGTTTATTTATTTATTTATTTATTTATTTTATTTATATATTGTTTTTCTTCTTTTTTATGTGTTTTATATAGTATATATATATATATATACATATATACTATATATATTATATATATATATATTTATATTTATATTTATATTTATAATATTTATATAACACATGAATGTGTGTGTATATATTTATATATACACATACATATACATACATACACATACATTCATGTGTGTGTGTGTGTGTGTGTGTGTGTGTTGTGTGTGTGTGTGTGTGTGTGTTGTTATACATAGATATATATATATAGTATATATATTATATATATATATATATATACATACATACATATGTATATATATATCGTTTTAGTGCATGAAGTTCGAACGAGATTGCAGACGGGTGACAGTGCAACATGGAGAAAGCAGAGGCGTCGTTAGCGGAAATGACGCAATTAACGCTCCAATTAAAACCATCGACTCGCCACGAACGGAAAAGCGGAAGTCCCTTCGCTCCGTGAACCGGCCGGCTTTCCGGGAGAAGCATCGGGGTCGAAGAGGAGGACGACTCGGAGGGTGACTAACGCTCGAATGCCAGCCACGAGGACGAGCGACGGACGAGGAGGACGCCTTAGGGTGGGGTGACGGGCGATGGACGGGGAGGGGGGGTGGAGGGTGGGGGGTGGGGGGTTGGAGGGAGGGCCATGCGCACTAGCGGCCGTGCCTGTCTGTCGCTGTATGTCGTGTTTCGTCACCTGTCGGATCACGCGTTGCCGTTTTGCGTCGCGGGTCGTGGAGTGTCGTAGTGTATTGCGTCGTATTACGTCGCGTTGCATTTATTGTTGTATTGTATTGCATCGTATCGTCGTATTGTACTGCATATCGTCGTATTGTGTCGTATTCCAAGCATCGTATTGTCATATTGTTTTGTATTCTATGCAAGGTCTATGTAAGTTCTCATATAGACATTGATTCTATGCGTTCTTTCCTCGTATGTCGTATCACATCGTATCATATACGGGAAAAGTTATGCAAGGAGGAGTTCGCATTTTGTCTCCGTACTTGCAACACGAACGCCGCATGTCGTTCCACGTACCACTCGCACGACTTCGTATTTCAGGCCAAACCACTTCTTCCTGTGACCTTACGCACACGGGGTCACCTGGCCGCCCCGCGCTCTCTCGCCTCCTCCCTCTCGCCCCTGTTTCCCTCCCTCTCACCTCTCTTTTCCT